CCATACACCAGCCAGCATGTATACTATATGACCATACACCAGCCAGCATGTATACTATATGACCATACACCAGCCAGCATGTATACTATATGGCCATACACCAGCCAGCATGTATACTATATGACCATACACCAGCCAGCATGTATACTATATGACCATACACCAGCCAGCATGTATACTATATGGCCATACACCAGCCAGCATGTATACTATATGACCATACACCAGCCAGCATGTATACTATATGGCCATACACCAGCCAGCATGTATACTATATGACCATACACCAGCCAGCATGTATACTATATGACCATACACCAGCCAGCATGTATACTATATGGCCATACACCAGCCAGCATGTATACTATATGACCATACACTAGTCAGCATGTATACTACATGACCATACACCACTCACCATGTAAACTACATGACCATACACCAGTCAGCACGTATACTATATGACCATGCACCAGCCAGCATGTATACTACATGACCATACACCAGCCAGCATGTATACTATATGACCATACACCAGCCAGCATGTATACTATATGACCATACACTAGTCAGCATGTATCGTCCTGTTCTACATAATCTATTATTTCAGGAATATCGCTAATATTTTCCTGGGAGAAAACTGACAGGAAGTAGGTACTGAGAATTTCACACATATCCTTATCACTGTCAGTAATGTGACCAGAGTTACTCTTAAGTGGGCCAATCTCGTCCCTAATCTTACTCCTGTATACCTGAAAGAATCTTTTAGGGTTAGTCTTTGAATCCCTTGTGACCTTAGCCTCATAATCCCTTTTTGCTTTTCTTATTCCTTTCTTTATTTCTCTCTTTAATTGAATATATTGATTTCTTAACTGCCCATCCCCTCTTTTGATATGCCTATATATGCCTCTCTTTTGACCAGTGAGATGTTGTAATCTATTGTTCATCCATTTGGGATCATTTTTGTTAGATCTAATTTCCCTACTCGGAACAAAAGTTGTCTGGGCAGCTAGAACTATGCTCTGAAAAACGTCATATTGGCAACCAAGATCACCTACCTGACCCATAGTCAGGACATCCCAATTTAGCCCACCCAGGTAATTTTTCAGTCCCATGAAGTCGGCCGAGCAAAAATCTGGGACAGAGATTTGATTGCAGTTATCTGGGTAATTCCATGATATATTGATTTGTGATCACTTTCCCCAAGCTCATCATTAACCTCAAGATTATTAATTAGTGAATCTTTGTTGGCAAGAACCAAGTCAAGCAGATTGTTTCCTCTAGTTGGTTCTGTCACAACATATTCAAAAAAGCAATCCTGAACTGTATCAAGAAAGTCACTAGACTCAAGATTTCCTGTCATATTGTTCCAATCAATTTGTCTAAAGTTAAAATCTCCCATTATCACAACATTTTCATATCTAGAAGCCTTATGAATTTCGTCCCATAACAGCTTACTGCACTCCCTATCAAGGTTTGGGGGCCTATAAATCACACCCAAAATTAATTTGTCATGTCCCTCAAGAAACTGTAGCCAAACAGATTCTGCGTTCGATGTTTCTAATCTTATATCATGTCTAAGACAACAATTTTAATTTTTTCTGACATACATCGCCACACCACCACCCTTCCTGTTGACCCTATCAGTGTGGAATAGTTTATAACCCTGTATGTTGCATTCAGAAGGCATTTCACTATCTTTCAGGTTGAACCAGGTCTCTGTTATACCAATAATATCTATATTACCTCCTAGGTAGTAGGTTGGTAAACAGCAACCACCCAGGGAGGTACTACCGTCCTGCCAAGTGAGTGTACAATGAAAACCTGTAACTGTTTTACATGATGGTAGGATTGCTGGTGTCTTTTGTCTGTCTCATAAACATGCAAGATTTCAGGTATGTCTTGCTACTTCTACTTGCACTTAGGTCACACTACACATACATGTACAAGCATATATATACACAACCCTCTGGGTATTCTTCTATTTTCTTTCTAGTTCTTGTTCTTGTTTATTTCCTCTTATCTCCATGGGGAAGTGGAACAGAATTCTTCCTCCGTAAGCCATGCGTGTTGTAAGAGGCGACTAAAATGCTGGAAGCAAGGGGCTAGTAACCCCTTCTCCTGTATAAATTACTAAATTTAAAAGATAAACTTTAGTTTTTCTTTTTGGGCCACCCTACCTTGGTGGGATATGGCCGGTGTGTTGAAAGAAAGAAAGATCTATATTACCTACACTTGCAAGTAATCTTAGCTCTATCTTATTTCTTAGACTCCTACTATTTGTATAGTAAACCTTAAGGGAGCTAGTCACTCGTCGCCCTCTACTATCTCTCTTTGTTGATCAATTGACTTGCCATTACTAGCAACTTTATTTTGAACATTGTCTTTTAAACATATCCCTGAGGTATCCCGGTAATAACTACTGTTTTTAACCCTAATGCTGCAGCCTGATTGTTTCCCACAAACACCCATACCTCTATACTATCAGTTTAAATTCCTAGACAAGTCGTCAATTACCCTCTCAATCGAATTGGCTAATGCAACCACTCCATCTTGGGTTTTTGGTCTCATTTGACAGAATGGAAGATATATTACAGAAATAGAGATGATTTTTTATTAGTTTCAGGATGGAAAGTACCTTGAAATTGAGCTCGAAGTAGTGGAAATGTTCAATTTTTGCTGATGTTCAAGAGTAAACAAATCACGTCACACGTCCAATATGTGTTCAACTGGCCAGTCTAATACACACTCATGAATAGGTTGGCATTATTTATACAATTATTACAATAATGTAGTAGTCTGCATAACAGTAAATCTTCTATTTTTTGTGTTAATAAAAATTCAGAATGAAGAGCAAGCATAATACAAAAGAGACCTGGAAACGAGACTAATGAACAGAGAAAATGTTATTTTAGTGCCAGGAATGTATGCACTGTTTATTCTGGACACCATTTTGAAATTAGGATCTTGAAATTTGTGTGAAATTGGCCAAATTACTGATTTCTAATCATTTTATTGGGCAGTTGAAATAAGTAAATGGACAGTTTCTTGTACTCAATCGACAGAACAGAAGGAATACTAGCAAAATAGCTATGAGTTTGGTTAACTGGAACAATGGAATTGCCCAAAAATAGGGCATAAAGTGGGTGAAATCGCTGATGTGTAAATATTGGCGAGACTGCTAACTTTGCGAGAACATAATTCCATGAGTTTTCCATCAAATTTCATACTTTTGGTTTCATTACCTTCAGAAAACGTTTTCTATAATATCATAATATATATAATAATTTTTATGGTTTGAAAATTCTTTGACACTGGGAGCAAGTTTGCAAGTAGGGGTCACAACAGTGAAAGGATTAACCAACTTGTTCTGATTTTCAGGGTATTTTAAAGGTAGCATGAGGCAGTTAGCTATTAGATTAAGTGTATTCTAACCTAATCACTCTGTAATCCTGTAAAATCACTAATACGGCACCATACGGGTCCCTACAATGAAGGATTAGTGATGGTCAACCTGTACTACTATCATCATATTTGTCAAGCATTTTACACTAAATACTTCTACTAAGCTTCAGTCCTGAAATACGTACAGGTTCTGAAAAACCACTCTATAAACTGTATTAACAAAGAGCTACAGCAAATTACTGATGTAATTCATTAAGCATCAACACCATTACTTAATATTATTATTATTGAATTGTTTATACTTACCTTAATAAACAAAAATAAACACAGTACAGTGGACCCCCGGTTAACGATCACCTCCAAATGCGACCAATTATGTAAGTGTATTTATGTAAGTGCGTTTGTACGTGTATGTTTGGGGGTCTGAAATGGACTAATCTACATCACAATATTCCTTATGGGAAAAAATTCGGTCAGTACTGGCACCTGAACATACTACTGGAATGAAAAAAGTTCGTTAACCGGGGGTCCACTGTATAACATATTTTATGGCAACAACAACACTATACTTTTACCAAAATAAGTCTCGTAAATTGAGACAGCATCTTGGAAGCTGAAATATCGTTTATCTTTCTTTTGAAAATTTAGCCACTCAGAATTGGGGGCATCTTCGACACCGTAGAATCTTGTTCACCGTAAAATACTGTATACGTACAGTACTTTCTGGCATATAAGGCGCATGACAGAAGTATCATAACAGTAAATCAGTAATCATATTCAAGGGTTAATTACCCTTCTTACTTTATGCTACAGCATAACCTAGAGCCCACCCTTGACCCTGATCTTGAGCATATAAGGCAGAGGGTGATTTTCCAAGACTTTTTGTGAAGAAAAAGGTGAACCTTATATGCATGAAAATACAGCCTCTCCTCACTTAACAACGGAGTTTCATTCCTAAGACCACGTAAGTAAATGAACTTGTTGCTATATAAGGAGCATACTATAATGGTAGTGGGTTTGTGTCAACCATCTTTGATATTGTTTTTATGTCACCTTTGCACCATTTATAATATTTTTAGTATATTTTTAAATGTTTATACAGTAGTGTACTGTATATTGTAATAAAAAGAATAGAGGAAATCAGCTCTAATATATATTATTTATGTATGCACACTGGTCAGAGAGGCCGTTTTAAGTCCGAGTCGTCGGTAAACGAGTATGTACATACTTCCCTAAGTGAGGAGGGGCTGTATGGTACTTTTTCAAAATCCCTTCAACACACATTAATGAATTACAGTAATGTATTTTGAAGACATATATACCATACACTGATACACTTATCCATACATTAGTGCCATACAATACTGACGAGCTGATAAATTACACACATGCCCATGACCATGGCCAGACAAGCCAGGCTAGCACCAAACAAGCCTGGCCCATGGCTGGGCTCCAGGGAAAGATTCTCAAAACTCAAAGGTATAAAGGTAAGACAAGTGTTTATCTGATGGGCAATGGAAGTGTTTCTCTGGTGTACACAATTTATATATAAGGAGTTAATTAAAATAAGCACACACATACATATTAACACATACCTCACTGGATCGACGAAGTGTCTGAGGTGAGAAAAAGTAATAGTCAGGAAGGGAGGGAACAGGGTGGAAAGACTCCTGTAGGATGGTCAAGAAGCGCTCTCGAATGCTAGAATGAAGCTGCTGTAGGTCGCGGCAGGGATGGTGCAGTTTGAGCAAGGAAAGTGGGAACCTGTTGTTGCTGCTGTTGCTAGCACCAGCACCACTCATGTTTTTTGCTGTCACAGGTACATCACTCACATCTCCTGATGGCTCTTTCTTCTCCTGCTATGAAAATAGTTCAATTTTATTATAATAATAATAATCTTTGCATCTACAAGTACTTGATACAACTTATACAGATCTAGTTGACATCAATGACATACTATATAGAAAGTTCATGGTTATGAAGAGCATTTCAAGTAATTTAGGTTAATTTTGTCCCCAGGATGTGACCCACACCAGTTGACTAACACCCAGGTAACTATTTACTGCTAGGTGAACAGGGACGGCAGGTGCCCTAAGGAAACAGGCCCAAATCTTTCCACCTGTACCAATGATCGAACCACGGACCTCAGTGTGTAAGCTGAGTGCTCAGACTATATAGTAATATACAGTACATATAATCTCGGAAAGCATGGCCTCTGAGCCCCAGTCACAGACTAGGCCTCCTCAAGGGGAAAGGAACATTAAATAAAAATTATTTTAAAACATTTGCATAAATTATTTAGAAACACATTTGCCTAAATCTGGAAAAGTATTCACATACAGTGAATCCACTGAATACAGATTCACTTTAGCGATGTGCTACAGTGGCTGCTCATCTTACAATAAGGTTACATTCCAATGAACCCATCCTAAGTTGAAAATACATCTAAAGTCGAATATGAATACGTGTGATACGATAAATAATTGAGTAAATAAATAGCTACTTTCACTGAAAGGTATATAAACAAATAATTACTATAGCTAACTAAATAGCAGTATTGAAAGGTATATAAATGAACGCAAGTTGATTCTATCAATAAATGTACAGTACTGAAAGTGCTTTGTTATTGCACCATTGTAAAGTTGAAATATTTTAAATCGAATCATTAAAAAGTGAGGAGCATCCTATTTTGTTCTGTAATTCTAGACATGTGAGACCTCATACACAGATGATGTATGAATTGGTTGAGCTTAGTACAGATTCTAAGGATCTGGGACACATCTACAACATAAAATGAGAAATGCATTTATATCGAGTTTCAGTAGAAATGCTTAAGCTTTATCAGTTGTTTTGTCTTTATGAGAGAGAAGAGTTATCATTGTTGGTATTACAGAAGATTCATGAGGGAGGTACCAATATTGTAAGGGTCCTACAGCACCTGGGAAATAGGATGTAATCAAGTTTGATCCAAGGAAGGGGAGAGTAGCTCAAATTCCTTGACCTCTTGTAATATGTACAAGAGTTAGGTCGTCTCCCTTATAATGTACAGTGGAACCTCAGTACTCGAACAGCTCCCTACTCGAACAACTTGGTATTCAAACACTTTGTTCAATAAAAAAAAAATCACTCGGTAGTTGACCATTTGCTCGGCACTCGACCAAACAAAGACAACCTGCTAGAACTTCGCTGTAAACTATTCTGTGTTTCTTCACATTTTTTGGTGTTTTTTCTTATTATTTGTTTAAATAAGTCACCATGGGGCCTAAGATGATTAGTGACAACAGCCAACCAAGAAAGAAAATTTGTTGGGAAAAATTTGTTCAGCACTCGAATTGAGTTCAAGTACTGAGGATCCACTGTATTTCAAGTGTAGAAATACACACACAACCAAAAGTCAACTTATACTATAACACAAAATGATGACACTGACTTCCAACTGATAAGAATGATTACAAATATAAACCTTGGAATCTTAACAAGAATATTCATGAATACCTTTTCTGTGACTGTTGCTTGGTGTGGTGGGCCCGGCCTGGCAACACCAGCCTCTGGTCGACACTGATGCATATGCTCCAGGTCGATGCGCAAGCGAAAGTCTCGGAGGTGACCACAAATAGTCTGTTGAATGATATATTAAATATAATACCCAAAAATTTGCTATTTTTTTTATTAACCCATGTAAATTCCAAAAACAGAGCAGAAAACTGTTAATCACAGGGGACTTGATCCCAAGGTCTACGGCACAGTAAAAATTTCTACATGAGTTTTGAACTGCACACAAGTGTCTTTCCACAGTTTGTCAGCATCATCATACTAATTACCAGTAACCTCTGCCAGCCACATAATATAAATGTGATGTACAGGCAGGCCATATTTTACAGCTCTTCACTTTATAATGTTTCACTAGTGCATTTATTCAGACTTCCTACAATAAATATATTCACCACTCACTATAAGCTAAGAACAAAAATATTTCAAGGTCAGTAATGTGTGTAATGTGTATGTATTTTTTAGGCTTAGCTCTATTGCTCACTTGATACATGACTGTAAACATGTTATTAGGCTTTTATATGCAATGGAAAGCAAAAGAGGCAATGTTTCACAGTGATTTTCACTTTACAGCAGTAGCCCAGAACCTAACTTACTGTATAAGCAGGGCCCTTCTGTACAGCAGTAGTCAAGAACCTTACCTGCTGTCAGCATAAGCAGGGCCCTCCTGTACAGCAGTAGCCCAGAACTTAACCTGCTGTATAAGCGAGGCCCTACAGAAGCCAGTAACCTAACCTGCTGTATAAGCGAGGCCTGCCTGTAAATTGTTTAGTAAACCAACAAGTTGAAGAATGAGACTCTTATGTAACATTCAGGAATGTTTACTGCGGAAATGTTTCATCAATAAAAATTCCCAAATATGTCATAAGTATCTCATTCTCCAAACAATATAAAAGACTGGCCCCTCTGGGGTGCTGTACTAGTACAGCAATCCTCATAATGTACCAGCCACAACTGGGGACATTACCGAAGCCTTTATCGTGACTCACAAAATCGTAATAACACAATTGTGAACAAACCACTGTACAGGTTTACTGAACCATGGTACCGTGGTTTACTGAAGTCATTCACAAGTACTTTCCACAACTCTCAGCAGGTGCTGATAGTAACTCCTTCAACACACTGACTGCCTCCGTGATTTTCAGAGTGCTGAAAATATTTATATTACTGTATTATTTTGGCACCTGTACAGGTACTGGCTTTAACCAGCTCTAGCACTAGTACTGTCTTTAACTAGCTCTAGTACTAGTATTGGCTTTTATATAAAACAAATGTCACATCAACACAGCACAGTATTCAAATTTTTTCAATTTCTCCCATTCTGTAAGAGATCAATAACCAGCAATAAAGATGCTTTGATTACCTTCTACTGTACAGACATACCTTGCTAATACAGCAGGTTAGGTTCAAGACCACGACCATAAAACAAATCAGTCTTTTCTTTTTTCACTTGCTAGTGTACATAAAAGCCTAAAACATGTTTACACTATCATTTATTAAGTGCACAACTATGCCAGGCCTTGAAAAACAATGCAAAAGTAAAAATGTTAAAATGTTTTCTTCTTTTTTGGGGCCACCTTCCCTGGGTGGGAAATGGCTGGTGTGTTAAAAAAAAAAAATTACAGTACAGTGGACCCCCGACTTACGATGACCTCAACCTACGATAAAACAGACTTACGATGCTTGTCAGTGTAAAAATTTGACCCTGACCTACGTTGAAAAACTCGACTGACATCATTTGTACTGAACGTGGCCGTCTGGTCCATCTGGCCTGAGCGCCTCAGCTGAGCTAGTGTGACATTGTTTACAAGCCAGGGCAGATGGTTGCACGCATACATTTGATAAATTTTGTATTATTCCAGTGTTTTTAGTGCTTGTAACTGCTAAATTACAGGTAGTATGTTGGTAGACACCAACCACCCAGGGAGGTACTACCGTCCTGCCAAGTGAGTGTAAAACGAAAGCCTGTAATTGTTTTACATGATGGTAGGATTACTGGTGTCCTTTTTTCTGTCTCATGAACATGCAAGATTTCAGGTACGTCTTGCTACTTCTACTTACACTTAGGTCACACTACACATATATGTACAAGCATATATATACATACCCCTCTGGGTTTTCTTCTATTTTCTTTCTAGTTCTTGTTCTCGTCTATTTCCTCTTATCTCCATGGGGAAGTGGAACAGGACTCTTCTTCCGTAAGCCATGTGTGTCGTAAGAGGCGACTAAAATACCAGGAGCAAGGGGCTAGTAACCCCTTCTCCTGTATATATTACTAAATTTAAAAGGCAAAACTTTTGCTTTTCCTTTTGGGCCACCCCACCTCAGTGGGATATGGCTGGTGCGTTGAAAGAAAGAAAGAACTGCTAAATAAGCCAACATGGGCCCAAAGAAAGCTTCTAGTGCCAACCCTGTGGTAAAATGGGTGAGAAATACTATCGAAATACTATCGTACTATGGTCAGCTGCTGCTGCTGCTGTACCACGGTCAACTGCTGCTGTAGCACAGTCAGCTGCTGCTGATGCTGTACCACGGACAGCTGCTGCTGCTGCTGTACCACCATCAGCTGCTGCTGTAGCACCGTCACCTGCTGCTGCTGTACCACGGTCAGCTGTACTACTCGAAGATGTGGAGAGACTGTTATTGGTGTGGCTTATCGAGAATACCGAGAAAAAATTAACCCCAGAGGGTTAGCTACCCAAGAAAGTCAGTGTGTCATCGAGGACTGTATAACTAATTTCCATTGGGGTCCTTAATCTTGTCCCCCAGGATGTGACCCACACCAGTCGACTAACACCCAGGTGAACAGAGAAAAATGCCTGAAACTAGTGCTCATATTGGTGAATTTAAGGCCAGCAAAGGTTGGTTTGAGAGATTTAAGAATCATAGTGGCATACACAGTGTGATAAGGCCTGTTCTGGAAGAAAATGCCAAACAGGACCTACAGTACTCAGGAAGAAAAGACACTCCCAGGACACAAAGTGTCTCATCACTCATCGCCACATCTTCAATAAAGGTAAGTGTCATTTATTCTTCATTTAGTCCACTAGTACATGCACAATATATATTGTGCATGTATTCTTCTTTTTGTGTATAAGGACCTGCCTAGTATGGGCCAACAGGCCTGCTGCAGTGTTCCTCCTTTCTTATGTTTCTTATGAAAATGTATATTTCATGTTAAAAATTTTTTTTTTTCATACTTTTGGGTGTCTTGAATGGATTAATTTGATTTCCATTATTTCTTATGGGGAAAATTAATTCGACTCACGATAATTTTATCTTATGATGTGCTCTCTGGAATGGATTAATATCGTAAGTCGGGGGTCCACTGTACTTTATTGTCAACCTTAAAATATTTTCATTCTTTGCTTATGGTAACTGACAAATGAACATTTTAGAAGAAATAATTATCACAGGAAGGCTGAAGGGAACAGTACTGAGCCTTCAATGAATCTTATTCTCCTTGCTGGAGGAGAGTCTTGCCTTAATATTGATGGTGTTGAATGGTAGGGCTACTTAACCCTTTCAGGGTCTGTGCCCTAGATCTACGGCTATACGTTGAGGGTCCAAACAGTAGATCTACGCCATGAGCTCAGCTCACTCTGATAAGCTGTGAGCGGTAAATTTGAGCCTAGATATGAGAGAATACATCTATGTGGTATGTGTGCACCACATAAAACAAATCCTGTAGCACACAGTGCATAATGAGAGAAAAAAAATGAGACCGTAATTTTCGATTAAAACAGTGACTTTGCTGTGTTTTATCGTATGTTTTAGATAGTTGTATTTGCAATATCTTGGTCTCATTTGATAGAATGGAAGATATATTACAGAAATAGAGAAGATTTTGATTGATTTTAGTAATGGAAATAGCTTGAAACTGAGCTCAAAGAAGCAGAAATGTTCAATTTTTGTCGATGTTCAAGAGTAAACAAATGACCTTACACATCCAATACATGCCTGCTGGTGGGTCTAATATGCTTTCACAAATGTGGTGATATTATTTATACAATTATTACAATATTGCATAACAGTAAATCTTCTCTTTTTTGGTTTGAATAAAAATTCATTATGTGAATAAAAAATCAAAATGGAATTCATTTGTAAAGCCTCAAAACATAACTAATGAACAGAGGAATTGTTAGTTTAGTGCCAGGAATGCCTGCATTGTTTATTCTGGAATTTATTTTGAAATTAGAATATTTTGAACTTTGCATTAAATTGGACAAATTACTAATTTCTGATCACTTCATTTTGTAGTTGAAACAGTTGACTTGGTGATTTCTTGTGCTCTATTGATAGAACAGAAGTAATACTAGTGAAATAGCTAAGAATTTGGTCGACTGGAATAATGTAATTGGCCTAAAATGGGAGTCAAAGTTGGCAAAATTGCCGATACGTAAATATCGCTGACACGTCAAAATTCGCGAGAGCATAATTTCGTCAATTTTACATCAAATTTGGTGCTTTTTGTTTTATTACCTTCAGACAAAGATTCTCTAGCATTTCGTAACAAAAAATAACAAAATTATTTTTTGAAAATTCTTGGACCCTGGTGCGCACTTTGAAATTTGGCCTCTGTACCCTGAAAGGGCTAAAGCTTGCCCAAAATGCTGCACATAACCTTGGGCTCTCAACATGATATTTAAGTGTATGCACTTAAATATCATCCATTACTGTATAACATTGTATCCTGTTGAAATAAACTTTTATTTGTTCTTGCTGTTAAAAGTTGCAGTGACTGTGGCATTTTCTTAATACAGTGGACCCCCGGTTAATGATATTTTTTCATTCCAGAAGTATGTTCAGGTGCCAGTACTGACCGAATTTGTTCCCATAAGGAATATTGTGAAGTAGATTAGTCCATTTCAGACCCCCAAACATACACGTACAAACGCTCTTACATAAATACACTTACATAATTGGTCGCATTGGGAGGTGATCGTTAAGCGGGGGTCCACTGTATAAAACAACAATGAAGTTTGCCTCATTGGCTATTTCTTTCAATAAATAACAAAAAAGGCACAATACCGTGACTGGAACAATACACAAATATCCTGCACATAGAA